TTCTCGACAAGGCTTCTGGGCTTCAGACTATTAAAACTCGCTTGTGTTGCGGTAAGCACTTCCCCGCTTGTGGGGTTTCATGTGCAAGGCGTTTGTGCCGGCTGTGAGTCCCCCGGAGCACACCGGGCGTTAGGCTGTGCCGAGGCATTTGAAGAACGTGACCTCGAATAGCTTCTCTTGTCTATGAACAGCCAGGGTTCTGGTTTCAGATTGTATGAGGATACAGTTTACAGGATGTTAAAACCCTGAAAGGAGTTTTTAATGCCCAAAAATAAGACTGGTAGAGATTTTAAATGCATCAGTGTCTCAGCAGATGTTCTGTAGCAGGTACTGGAGGCAGACATGTCAGCAAAACATGATGGTTGTTGTCACGGCTTTGTTGCTATGTCTGTACAAGCTGTAGGGATCTAGGAAGTGTGCTTTGCTAGTTACAGCTACTGGGTACTGAAGTTCTTAGAATGTGGGTATCTAAAAATAAGTTAAGTTCCTGTTTTCTGAAAGGTGTTTTTTGCTTCAATGCTGTCTACATTATGTGAGTGTTTTCTTGAGAGCTTTGTTATCAATAGCTTGATTTTGCGCCTACAGGGCTCTGTTTCTCAGATAGCAGGTTTTTATGTGATGTCTCATATTCCCCCTCTCACTTCAGTGACTAGTTGTAGGGGTTTGTTTTGGTCAAGGAACAGTTAATTAGCTTTCATTGCTGGCAGTGCCTTAGCTTCCCCAGAAAGGAGGTGGAGGACAGACCGTACTAGCGGGCTGTTGGTAGTAATTAAGACTAGTTAGCTGTTCTGTGGCTGAAGTCAAGATGCTGTGTTCTTCCCCCATGAATTCAGCTGGAAACCACTTAGGAGTAAAGTTACAGTTTGTAAAACTGCATTAGTAATGATCATAATAAGTATTTTTTTCTAATCTTATTCTCTAATTTCTTTGTTATTGTAAATAATTTAGCAATAGTTGCAAGTTGAAGGAAAAAAAATTCCAGAGTGATGCTAACTGAAATACTTTAGCTGAAAGTTAAGTTTGTACTAATAAAAACTTAATTCCAGGTCGAATTCTAGCTTTGACTGGACAGCTAGTTAAACCAGACAACAACCCAATGTTCTCAAATATTGACCTTGTTGAACAGAAGCTTAAATCTAACGCAGACTTCAGATGAAACAGCTCCTTGTAGACAAAGGTCAGGTGTTGACCAAGATATTTTTTAAACAAATTAGGAGCGTTAACTTGAAATGCTGATTGGCATTTAACAGCAATTTCAGTTGAAAGACCATGGGAGAATGATGGCAGTAAGAACAAAGGCCTATATAAATAGAAAAAAAAAATTAAAATAAGATTGTTGGGCTACTGTTTGCTGTGGGTTTTTACATATGTGTGTATGTATGTATATATTGTGGAACTAAAAGTTTGTACAAAACTAAGTCATCAAAGCCATGCTGCTACAAGTAATCATTTGAACAGCTGGCAAATGGCCAAATTTATTTTTTTAATTATTATAGATAATAGATCTTAATGGTTTCCTGATGTACTTAATACTCCAAAATGTGATCCTCTTTTTCCACTGTGGAGGGGCTATTTAAGCTATTCTAAATCTGACTCTCAGTATTTTTAAAAAATACTGTGATTTCTCAAATATATTTTATTTTCTGTAAGTAGGAGTGTTCCTTGTGTTTAGTGTAACTCCATCGTTGTACTTCTTAGCTAAAGTTGTGTGAAGCTTCTTCGACTGTGCTTTTATTACATTTAAATGATCACTGCATTGGTTTTCTCTGCCTGTTGAAGAAGTGGGTGTGCACAGGGGAAAAGTGAATTCCTTTTATCTTTTACATTAATAGTTGGATAAATAGATGAAGATCTAATTATGCTTGATATGCATTTTCCACAGATCTCAAAGCTTTTGAAAGAAGACTTACTGAATATATTGCATGTTTGCAACCAGCTACAGGACGTTGGAGAAGTAAGTTTGATGTGCCAAGAGATAAATTGAATTCTCTCTTTCAAACTTTTTAGATTTACCAGTGTGTATCTTTGATTCATGTTTGCCCAAACAAAAATATGTGCTTAAGCTCTCTTTAAAATTTCTATGGCATACATTCAGACGCTCTGCAACAAGATAATACACGATACCAGACTAACACTTTTACCAGAGTTAGAAAAGTGAGGTCAAGATTGAATTGGCTCAAGGCTGAATGATTCTGGAAATAGTTGGGACAGTAGGTTGCTGTACTTGTTTCTGTTTTGGTTTGGTTGTTTGTTGTTGTTGTTTTTGTTTCTGTTTTGGTTTGGTATTTTGTTGTTGTGGTTTTTGGGTTTTTTTTGAAGGCTCAGACTTCCCAGACAGTCACTATAGCTATTTGAACTAAGTAAGATTGGGTGAGATAGTCCCTGTAAAATTGAAGGTGAAAAAGTTACAGCAGTGTGCCTTAAGGGCAGACTATGTCCTCATCTCTGTTCTAACAGGAAAGTTTGAGGGAGAGAGGAAGGCAGAAAATACCACAGATGTGATGCCAACTTTGGAATCAATAGCCCATGGTGGAAATAGACAGGGTTTTTTGTTCTGAGATTCTGCTGAAGTTTCCATAGTCAAAAGAATACAGACATTTTTTTAGAACATACGAAATAGCATCTTTTCTCTTGAGAAGTCAAGAGGTTAATTTCAAATGAAGGAACTGGAGGAATGACTACTTAAAAAGCAAAAAGAACAAAACCCCCTGCCTTGTTTCAGAGCGATTGGGGGGCAAGCAGATATTTGTAAGTAGATCAGGGTAACTTGTGCACACCTATTGTAAGAATGCATTTGGCTTCCAGAGTTGCTATTTGCTGTCAGATACAATTTAAAAAACAAGTACTGGAAATTTATAAGCTTATTTAAATGAGGTTTGTATAACTAATGTTGTGTTTGTTAGACAACTTTTTTTTCCTAACTGCTTGTTTTGCTAGTTTTGTAATTCACATAAAAGAGGGACTTTTCACATTAATTATAATGGAATATTTAACCCAATCTAACTTTTCTTCCTGTTATCCTGGAAAAAAAGTATTTATATAGAGAAGAAGCTCTATGCTTTTGATAGATCTTTTCCAACTTGCTCTTGGAAACGTAACTTGTTAAGGTTACTTTTAAATTTTGTTTTTAATTTTGTAGTATCAGTAAGGAATATACAACTCACTAGTAAATTATAGCAGTCTTACAAACCTGAAAGTAGTATTTAATGAATATCTGGGGTTTGTTTTCAGGTTCTTTCCTGTGATCCTAAAGGCTGGTAACTCTGGGTTGCCTTTTTTTGTGTTGGTTTTTGCTGGTCCCCTTACCCCCAGTAAAAGACTTTATTTGCATCCAGGACTTCAGGCTCCACAGAAGACACTCAGAGCTGCCAAATGTCCAATGAAAGCTGCAAGGCTTTATGGGTGTGCAATAGAATATGAGCTTTTTCTACCTTTGTGTTTGTCCTGTTCCCCAAGCCTTTGTAGTCTCTCAAAATGTGTAGTATCTTGTGTTACTCTGATAAATCTAGCATTCTCCATTTACAGTGAATTGATTATTCTTCTGAAGTCATTCTGGATGTGTAGAGGTTTTTGTTAATCTTCCTGTGCTAAAAGTAGCATGCCTTCTGACTCCTGTTTAAATTTTGTTATTTTTATTTATTTTTTTTTTCCTCTGTGTCAGCTTTTCTTGCTTGTAACTGTGCTGATTGGGGCGGGGAGCACAACTCAACTTAGATGTGCCACTGAAACTCCTGGTGCTAATGCTTCAAACTTTTCTTACATAGAAGAGCTAGGGGATAAAGCCTTAGTTCTGCTCTGCAATTTAATGGTGCTGTGTTTCTGTTGCCCAGACTGCATAAACTTGAATAGCATACCGAACATTTGGTACAACTCTAACTCCAGTCTTCCAAATCATATTTTTGCTAACCATGTTATTTTAGAAACTTTCATTTCTTCAAAGCATCAGGATGCTTTTACTTGACAGAATTTAGATTTTGGTACCTCCTTGTTCTCTCCAGGAAACTCGTACAGAATCTTTACGGTTTCATATAACAGAAGTTTCTTTGCCTGTTTTAATTTCTACCTTTCAAGCTTTTCCTCCCTCAGAACTGGGAGAAGAAATAAATGCTTAAGAGCTGCTACTGCAAAATAAATGCTTTTTAGGAGAAGAAATAAATGCTTAAGAGCTGCTACTGCAAAATAAATGCTTTTTGATAGGAGTGAGGTATACCCTTTATGACTCTAGTTCTTTTCTTTGTCAGTGATTCTGATAGTGGTATCCGTCTGCACAGCAACTGGTGCTTGGAACTGGTTAATAGACCCGGAGACGCAAAAGGTAGAGATCATGCTAATCCCGAATGTCAGATCTGTTTCATAGCTCTGTGTTGCAGTCAAGTGGTATAGTGTCTTGAAAACTGAAAGGCTGAAGAGGGTTCTGCCATGGAACTGGGAGATCATTTTTGGCTATGCTCTCAAGCTGTCAGGAATTGTTGTGCAGTGTGTCATGGGACAGTGCCTACCAAAATGCACTTTGCATGCTTATCTAAAGAATTCATTGCAAGTACTTAGAAATGGCTAGGAGCAGTATTTTTTTTTTTAATTAAGTGAACTAGGCAGCAACTTTATGTTTTAAAAAGTATATAGTGGGATTAATCTGATTTCTTTCCTAGGTATCATTTTTCACATCACTTTGGAATCACCCATTTTTCACAATTAGCTGTATTACCCTAATAGGCTTGTTCTTTGCTGGAATACATAAAAGAGTGGTGGCACCATCAATGTATCCTTCAATCGTGTTTGTCAGGTTAAAAGTGTGGTAGTTACTGCTGTTATTGAAGCTTATGCTAAAATTGCTTTTCCAGTTTTTAGTTACTCTGTGTACAAGTGTTAACTGCTTTCCTTGACACAGTCCACGCAGTATAGCGGCCCGATGTCGAACTGTTTTGGCAGAATATAATATGTCCTGTGATGATGTAAGTGTTAGTCGTTCATTGCCTCAACTTTGTTTTTTTTTAAAAAATGCAAATAATTTGAAAAGGCACACAGTTTTGGTTTTTTTTTTTTCTGAACAGCACTTCTATACACCTTAACAAATCCTGTGTGTCTGTAAAATTGGACTGTAGAATACTTAGTATTGTTCTGTGTGTCAGTTTAAACTTAGCCTCTAAAATTTGACTTGAAGTGTGATTGTTGGGCTTAAACTTTCAGGGTCTAAACTTTTTATTTTTTCTGTCTTCCAGACTGGAAAATTAATTTTGAAACCTAGGCCTCATGTTCAATAAGGACTGTCTTCCTTCAGTTTTTTCCACTGCCATGGAAACCAAAAACTGACCTTTTTTAAGGTAGTATGACAGCTAAAAAACACAGGACTGGTTGTCACTGCTTGGGAGTGAAAGTCTTACACAGTTGACAGTAAAAGTGTGCAATATTTCTTGAATATTTATCCAAATTCTTTGTTATCATATTATCAGTGCTTTTGCTACTTCTGATTACCTCTTTTTCAGTATTAGTGTCACTTTTTTACTTCGGCTAGAACAGAACATACAGGTGAAGTATGTTAATCAGCTATGAAGTTGAACTTGAAAATCAAACCTCATTTGTGTTACGTGTCTTTGTAAGCAATTGTAAATAGCAGATCGATGCCAATGTTCAGGAAAAGAAGTAACACTTGCTGTGCGGATTTTTTTGTTCTCATGAACAGTATTGAAAGGAACACTTACCATTCCCATGATGTTTTATTAGCACACTTATTCATTACAGCTGTCCTTGTCTCCTGGTCACTCTTTTTGGAACCGGTTAAAAGGCTTGCAGAAAGACTGCTTCTCCATGCGGGAGAAAACTGGTCTTACTGTTTTAGAACTTTGCAAATAGATCATTGTCAAGTTGTATTTATAGTGCACCAGCCACTTTCATTGTGGTCACACGTAGCTCCTTGTTTGATCTTGTTCACAACACTGCTATTTTAAGAATTTAAGATTTTAAAAATTGTCTTAAATGTCCTTGCATCTTCCTGACTGTAAGGTTGTACTGTATCTTAACTCCACATGACCATTCTGAGTGGATTTTTATGCTGTGATAGTCTGAATATGAAACTAGTATTGCAAACGTATCACTTGAGATTTGGTGAAGAAAGTATGGAGTGCCACAATAAAATAACAAAATTTGTTATTCATAGTGTTAAAAACAAGGTGTGGATGTTATATGCATATAAGTGTAACTTTTGAATAGCTGAAATTGTTTTAACAGTTTAAGTTGTCAAGGTGCCTTTTCAAAGTCTTTTAATTGACTAAAACTGCAAAGCTGTTGCAACAACTACAGGGTAGACTGGCTTTTAAAGGCAGCCTCTTGATGTAACTTTGTCAGTTCAGACGTTAAAAATTGTCCCCTGTAACCTTTCCAGTAAGTCATCTGCCCATCCATTGTTTTTAACTGCTGTGTATTTTGTAGGTAAATGTGTATAAAATAAATTCTTTGTATAAACAGATGTTATCTTTTGTACAGTGCAAATACAGATCTCAAATGAAGAGCTTCAGAATTTTATGGTAACTTCAGAAGTTTGATGGTAGATGAGAAGCTCGGAGATGCACAATTGCAGCCCAGAAAGCCACCCGTGTCCTGGGCTGCATCAAAAGCAGCGTGATCAGCAGGTCGAGGGAGGCAATTCTCCCCCTCTACTCTGCTCTCATGGGACCCCACCTTGAATACTGCGTCCAGCTCTGGGGCTCCCAACATAAGAATGCCATGGAGCTGTTGTGGAGTGGGTCCAGAGGAGGGCCACGAAGCTGGTCAAAGGGCTGGAGCATCTCCCCTAGAAGGACAGGCTCAGAGAGTTGGGTTTGTTCAGCCTGGAGGAGCTAGAGAACCCTTCTGTGATTTACAGCTGAAGCCTGTAACTTTCATACTGGACCAACGTTTGATGTGGTTCTTATAAGAAGGTAGTGACCCCATCCAGTCCATGCAGTTTCCATCCTACAGCTCACCCTGGAAAGGGTTTCATTCAGCATTTGTCTTGGTCGAGTTTTTGAGCTGGGGAAACACCCAGCGTACACACCGTGTGCTCAGACCCGTGTAAGGACGCTACTGATGCTTGGG